CCGACCCTATATTTTTCTATTGTTTTGAGCCGGTGGATCAATTGTCATCAGTASTGTCACCTAAGAAGCAATGATTCCGATTCATCTTGGCATCTGATTTTATTCTAATGGGTTAAATTGGGTTCACTTTTACAATTATCCCAGGTTTGACTGCGTAGTATTGCATGACAACTCACAGTTTCATCGGGTTTGGCAAAGCGAGGTTGCTCCATGAATCCGTATATCATATCACATCAGATCAGGCTGAAGTTTGCTGTTTAGCGACTCCATTTGAGAGGCTTTTTATGAAAGTGGGAAGGGTTGWTGCAGTCCATGGCTGGTTCAGTGCAATTTGAAAAAAAAAAAAATGTGGAGAGATGGCAACAACCCGGGGTTTGCTGCTCAGCTGTGAATAAGCACAGAACGAAAAAAACGACGCGATGGGGAAACGCTCAGCTAGCTACAATATTTTTAACAGCCTCTCAGTCCTCGCCTTTTTTTAATTTCCTAATATGTTCTTTGCTTTATTAGTTTTATTTACAACCAGCTCCCCATTAACACCTCACCTGATTACTGAGGAGCTGAGACAGCTAATCAAGAAAATCCAGCAAACCAGCCAAAATCGAGAGGTGGGATTTATTTTTTTTTGTTTCCATTCCGTCTTCTTCTTTGTTTATTTATTTTGTTTGGAAAATATTTTGAAACGAACAGAAAATAAAAGGCAGGTATCAGTGTATGTTGGCGAAAGGTCAGAGGTTAGAAATTCACGTCAGTTCTGTATCAGAGGCTATGTAGAGGGCGGGAAGAGAGAGGGAGAGAGGGGAGAAAAAAAAATCTTTCCACCAAGCAGCTTGTTTATTTTAATTAACATAGGGATCCTCTGCTAGGAACAAGGAACAACCTCCATCTACTGGCTAGATCATTGCGTCTCTTCTCCATTCAAAACCCATCCCTCATCACTCATTAAGGAGGGTACAATTTTGGAAGAAGCTTCTAAGGTCTCAAGGTAAGCTCCTGCATGAGTCTTTGCTAGCAATGCTGCTATTTGGACTTCACGGATGTAATTTGCAGGGTGTTTCTTTGGCGTCGTGTTGTTTGTTTGGGCTTTTTTTTTTTTTTTTAGCAACGCAGAATGGTTCTTTCCCCAGGTGTATTCACAGATAACATTTCATGCGTCTATGTTTTAATCTCGAAAAAATAGCTCAGCCYGGGAAGGCTGAGCCCTTCAGCTCATTTTTTATTATTTTTTTTAATGCCCGTGTTTTTCCCTTGTTTTAAATCTTCCTTTTTAAATGGAATGGCTCCTTTCACCTGTGTGTGAATACAGTCTGTACGGGTAAAAAGCAGCAAAATGCGAYAATTTCCAGTGGCTTAATTACAACCGGAGTGCAAATACGATTACAGTTAATATTCGACAACTGACAGTGCTGAGGTCCTGGGCGGTGAACAGTTTCATATTAGACAATAATTCTGCCTTTCCTGCTTTCTTCTGGCTGTGCGATCACTTGTTTGTGGTCAGTCACAGTGCTTGGCTATGGAGATATGTGTTTGGGATTACTATGCAAAGCACCTAGTTGATTCTTATTTAAATATCATCTCCCTGAGCAAATGAATACGTGTCTTAATTGACATGTTTTCAGATTACCGGKAGGTACAAGCACATCGGAGGTTTGGGGGGGTTTTAATCCGATGCCGGTTCTGGTTAAAGACACCCTGCGCGTGTGTCCCTCGCACCGCCAGCCCAGGGAGGGGAGGAGAGGAGCTGGAGCCCGAGACTGGCTGCGATATTCCGGCTTTTAACATGTCCATACAGCGATTCGAAAGTTGCTTTGCGGTACACTCGAGAGGACTCAAGGCAGGAGAAAGATGGTGATGGTAAAATATGCTGTATCTGATTCCGAAATGGATTTTTAAATAATGTCGGGCTTTAAAAATAGAATAAAATAAAATAAAATAAAATCTAAAACAAAAATAAACCGGAATCTATTTGAATACTGAAAACAATATTAGCTACATTTGGTGCSACTGCCAAGAGATGTAATTCTATTCAGATTTCCCTTCTTTGTGTCTGGATTGCTTGCAGTGCCCGCGGAATTTACAAAGAGATGAGGCTGATCATTAATAGCACTGTACTCCACCACAAGCTCATAGAGCAGAAAATAGCGTTAGGATTTAAAAATAGACCTGGCTTTAACCACCCGACTCGCAGGCAACAGGATCGTAATCCTGTTGCTGTTATTACTACGCGCTTTAAATTTCTGGAAATGATTAAACTGGAAGTGTCTTGAAAAGTTCAGGTGCTGACGGAGGGGGTGTGAAGCTCTGGTGCCCTGCGGGGCGGGAGGCGGCTGGCCCGGGCAGTGCCCTGCGCCTGCAGCCGGGACACGCCACGGCCTCAAATGCGGCAGGCGAAATCCAAACCATTTCTCCTCAAAGAACACCTCCTCCTCCCCACCCCCACCCCCCGCCTGAACACCCTCCCCTTTCTCCTAATTATTGTTGGTCAATTATTAATTTGCATATAGACCTTGTCCTAAATCCTTCGAACTAAACACAAGATCGTTCACGCTGTGATAGGCTTTAGCCCGTAGCCCGTGGCCAGGGAGAATGCGGGCTCGGCGGCAGAGCGGATCCCAGTGACCGCACGCTGAAATCTTCCCAGGGCACACGCTAATTGCGAAGGTGGAAGCGGCTCCAGGCAGCGCCCCGGAGCTGCGGGCAGGGGCTGCAGCGGGGCCAGCGGGACGTCCGCGGGAGCTCTCCAGCCCTGAGTGGGCMGGCAAACGCTGTACCTGTGAAAATCTCCACAAATCTCCCCACTAGCTTGGGGAGTCCGGGTAGAGTCTAACCGAAAGGAAAAAAAACCGAGAGCGCCTGTCATGTTACTAAAATATTCTGAATATCGCACATCAGATATTCTTCCCCAAATGCTGCGGCCAAAGGAGATAAAAAGCGCCCTGCGTCGAGAAACTGCCGTTCACAGGCAAAGTGCTAATGCCGATGGATTCATGAGGGACAGTCTCGTAGATTTGGATTTTAGATTCCCTGTCGTGTTCTTTGTGAGCTTTTCCCTCCCCTCCCCAAGCAAACCAGCAAAACTRTGAGGAATCCCTCGTGCTATAATGGCAACCTCTCGCTACCAGCCTGCCTTAGAGCAGCAGAGCTCCAGTTCACAGCGAGGAATGAGATCTCAGGAACATTGAAATAGATTTACCTTGATCTCCTACAGGCCTTTTGGAAACGGAGAAGTCACGTTTGATGCTAGCAACAAACTTTTAGTGTCCCTTTAGGTAAGAAGTGGTCTGCCAGCATTAGGATGTTAATCAGAAAACGCCTTGGAAACCCCTGGCCTCCTTTACTGGAGCAGCAGTAGCTTGTAGCGTATCCTTAACCGTACCTGATGGAGCAGAAAGAAAGGACCCTCTAATTAATTAAGTGTGTCCAACCGGAGGAGGCTCAGTCATTTCTGGGTTTTGTTATGAGTCTGCCCAATTACTCCTAACGGCGCCGTCGAGCTAAGGTAGAGACGARAATTTAACAAACAATATTTTCCGTGTCTCTGCCTTGGACCGATGCTTTGACGCCGCACCTGCAGAGCGTTTCGGTGAACCCGAGACAGCAAACGCGAGATAAGCGGGAGCAGAGGGCAGCGAAGCGGGGGCACAACCCCGTCGGGGGGCGCAGGATCCCCACTTTAGCCCCCGAGGGGACCGGGCCCAGAGGCAGCCGGAGGCTTCCCCCAGACCCCTCCTCTCCCTGCTCCCGGCGGGCACGATGCCTTTGACGGAACTCAGCTCGGCAGGGACACGGTCACAGCGGGACGGCTGTGGCGGCGCTTCCGACAGGGGTCTGCRGGGCCGGCCCGGGCGGGCGGGGGTCGGCGAGTGTTCCTGCCTGGCACAAGCCGGGGTAGCTTTGGCAACCCGAGCGCCACGGGAAATGCAGACCGTTTCCAGGAGAGCAGATGCAACACGAAACGAAGGCAGGGTGAGTTACCCCGACAACATAGCTGGACAGGAATACAGGAAAATTTCCTTCGAAGGGGAAAACACCCAGAATAAACCGTGAACGCGCCTGTAAAGTGGAAAGACTACATTTCAACGGTTAGAATAAACTCCTCTCTAAGTGAGACTTTTTGACCTCCGTCGGCTGCCGCCGCTGCGATTCCCCGATCCAGGCGGGCGCACGCCCGCGGTTCCTACCGGGCGCAGGGTGAGCGGGGCGATCCCTCCCGCACAGAGCTTCGCCCCCGCCCGCAGCGCCACCGCCCCTCCCTTCCCTCCTCCCCGGGCCGCTCGACAAAGCCGCCGGCCCCGCAACCGAGCTGGCCCGGGCCAAGCAACCCCGCGATGGTGCCGGCCGCGCTCCCGCTCCCCGGCGGGGCTGGGGGCGAGAGGGAAGCACCTCCGCCCGTCTCCCGGARCAGCCGAAGCGTCGCGGAACGGAGGCGGGAAGGAGGGGTGGAGGAGGATTGGGGACCCTGAGCGAACAGCTCCCGAATCCCGGATTGAATCACCTTGTTTATTTTTCCTGATGTCTTATTGTACTAATTGACTTGTTTTCTCCAAGGAAAACCTATCTTTCCCTCCTCCTTCCCCACACACAGATTTTTTTTTTTTGTCCAGACCGGGAGTGCTCTGCAGAAGACTACGGCTTCTGAAGGGATCTGCCCTTTTTAAGGAAGATTCCCGCAGCCCTTTGAGTCTCGTTGGTTTTATAGCTATTACTCTCTTATTAAAACACACACATACATACAACACATTGATTTCCATCCAAAAGGGCTAATTACATTACTTACAGTAAATAGCAGCCCTGCTGTCCAGGGTCTAGTGTGCCAACAGAGAAAAAAAATCCCGGCTTATTTCACTTGATTGACTTCATCTTTGTGTGAAATTGTGTTTTATGAGCTGTATTCTGGCACTCGGAGGAATGTAACAACATTCAATCTGCAAATAACATTAATTTTAGCTACTTAAGGGGAAAGAGAGGGGAGGAAACTGGCTGCCTGAATCTTGGGTTACATGGAAGAGGTGACTCGAGGAGCCCCTGAGGATGTCTCTGGGATGCTTTGGAAAGGAAGTGGGGGCTGGGGTACTTCTTTCACTAGTCGCGCTAGGATTTGGTGTGGAGTGTCCCCCAGGGAGCAGGGAGYGCAGGACTGCCGCCAGGAAGATCCTTCAGTAGGGATCGAGGTGTCAGGAAACAGCCGGCAGCTGTTTCAGGGAAAGGCAAGGAAGAGTGGTGTGAAAAGTAAGTAGGAAAACGGGAAAAGGAGGGGAGGGAGAGCATACAGAGAGATTAGCCAGGAAGGAATGCATCGCCTGGTCCYCTGCACACAATGATCGCCCGCAGTCCGCGGCCGAGGAGCGGGCGAGGGGAGAGAGTGCCGCCGGTGCGTCCCCTGACCGGCCGGGGCTGGCCCCRCGGAGTGCCCGCGGAGGGGCCGCATCCTGCTGCGGATACGGGCGGGGGCTCCGCGGTGCAGCAGGGCGGGCAGCGCCCGGGGAAGCGCTCGATCTGCCCGGGCTCCCTGGCCTCCGCTGCTCCCTCCCGCCTCAGCACCCCTCCGCAGGGCCCCGGGCCCGGGGCGCGATGAGCGCTCCGGCCGCTCTGTCCCGCCTCGCTGCCCCGCACCGGCGCTTCTCTTCCTTCTCCCCTTCCCGCGGCGGAGCCAGGCACGGCGGGGCCAGCCCGAGCGGCCGCCGAACGGAGGTTCCCGCGGTGCGGCCCGGGGGGAGCGGGGCCCCCAGSGGGGAGAGCGGACCCGCGGGCCACCCTGCCCCTCGCCAGGCGCCGTCGCCGCCAACTCCCGGGACTCCGTGTTTGGGGGAGGTAATAAATCCCACCCCACCCACAGCCCCGACCGTAATGTTTGTCACTGCTTGCCCATCACTAGGGGTTGAGAGGAGTATGACAGGTCTTTGTTGTCTGAATAAAAATCAGTGGCAGCTCAAGGGAGAGAACTCCTCCTACTAAATTATCAAAAATGGGCTGGCTTTAGTCTCTTAACAAATTGGACAGAGCTCCGGAAAGCAGCAGTCCCAAATCCAACCTACAGGCACTGGGAACTTTAAAGCAACCAGGGACTGCTGAAAATAGCACTTCTTTTTGCTTTCTTTGTATTCAAAACTATATCCTTTCCCGACTGATTCTACTGCCCCAGGTCCAAGTCTTTCCAGTCAGAAGCCCCAGCTCTCCAGAACAGTAACAGATCCTTTAGCTCGCTTTTATTATTTTATTTTTTAAACTAATTATTATTACATTTTCTCCCCCTTGTTTGTTTTCTGCACATCTTCAGGAAGCCCTCAGTGCTTGCACAAAAGAGAAGCTCCAATTGCAACCTCCCTCCCTGCGCTGTGCACCTCGGTGTAAACATTTTGGATGATCTAAAGACTCTGGGGTCTGTATATGGAAATAGTGGGGTGCAGAGCAGAAGAAAATACTTGTCCTTTCCGTCCCCCAGCCATGCTTTTCCACGGGATCTCCGGAGGCCACATCCAAGGAATCATGGAGGAGATGGAGAGGCGATCCAAGACCGAGTCCCGCCTGGCTAAAGGGGGACAGATGAACGGCCGAGAAACGGTAAGAAAGGAGCTGGCGCTCTTTGCGAGAGAATCCCTGCAAGCATGCACCCGCACCGGGACAGACCCTGACTTTGGGGAAGAGAAAAACGCTGCTTCCCTTTGCCCCTTCCCTGTCACCCCTTGCGTGTGGAACCCCTTCCGAGGCTCCCTGTAAACCCACCCGTAACGCTGGGTGTTGTGCTGGCCAGGCTCGGTTATACATTTGTYTAATCCATGTAGTTGCGTGTGCTCTCTGGACAATCGGGGAAACTGTTTTCAGTCGTAGCTGGGACGAGGTTTCAGCCCTTGCGGCGGAGCAGCCTTTTGCCCCTGCTCGGCTCCCTTCGGCCGCTCTGCCCCTGCGAGCAGGGCTGCAACTCCCGAGGTGCGCTTTACTTTTATTCTGCACTCCTGGCACCTCCTAAATTAAACCTCWAACCGCGACTGCTTACTTTTTGTAACTGTCTTTGGTCTGAAGCGTGCGCTTGATACAAAGAGGCACTGCTCTCTCTGAGTGTTATGCCGGCCGGCTACTTTGCTTCGAAAGTAACATCTCTTTCCTTAGTCAAAAGGACCACAGTCTTCAGAAATGCACTAAGGGATGGCGGAGAAACGGAGTGTCACGCTGGGCTTTGTGCAAAGCGAGATCTCCCTTTCTCCAACTTGTAGGGCTTCCGCCGCTCGCGCGCAAGGCTCTGCACACAAAGTAACGGCCTGGAAAAGCGCTTTAAGGCTTTGGGCCACAGGCTCCTTTACCCCCTCTCTTAAATAAACTCATGCTTTGTTACATGAGGATTTGCAATGTAAGTTTAACGCACCTTTCAATTGCTGCAAAAAGAAAAGRGCGCAAAGAGCACAACTTCAGATTGGAAAACAAATGTGGAGTTGCCCCTTTAAAACTGTTGCGACTTTAGAAAAAGGTATGTTTTTTTCCCCCCGTTACTTTATCAGTAAACGCTGCCCCAAGTTTTACGGCAGAGCTTTTGTCTCTGCCGTCCCTCCATCTCCCTTTGTCCCGAGCGACAYTCCTCGTGGGGAGCAGATCAATGGGAACTTGCAGAAGTTTACTGACAAAAACATGCTAGTTTGAGCTGAAACCAGCCTGTGCCAGCTTTCTGCCCACGTCCCTGCCCGGGCTGGTGAGTGTTCACACTCGCTGCTCTTTACACCGTCCACCTGTCTCGTTTCTCTTACTTCTGTTTTAAAAGGCCTGTCTCTCTACAGAGACACGGTTGCGGCTCGCTTAAATTCGGGTGCGAATTTGCCGTAGAATGAGTGCRAGCCTGAACCCTCTGCCATAAACTTTAGGAACAGCAAACCGGTATTTTCCTACTTTGAAATGCTGTTCCCGTGAAGTGCTTCAATATTAAAACGCTCAGGGAACGAGGGAGCCTCAGATTTTAAGTTCAGAACCTCAGAAAACACTGAGTCCTGCTTTTCTTACTGCGGCCTAATCCGTTGCTTTCATGTATTGAAATGACATTAGATCGKTAGGAAAGGTTTATTGTGAATCGCGGTAAACAGTTTACTAGCGGGGATGGCCCAGGTTCCCCGTTAAATTTCCCGCCGGCAGCAAAGAGTTTGGTCCTAGAGAGCAGTGCCTTTGTACGAGCCCCGTGCCCCGCGCAGGACCCGTCCCCAGCCCGGCCTGCCTGCCTGTCTTTCTCTCCCTGTCTCATCCCTTGTGGTGTGGTTGTTTTGCAGAACATGCCCCCCATGAGCCCCGAGAAGCCTGCTTTGTGTGCTGGTTGTGGAGGGAAGATCTCAGACAGATATTACCTGCTGGCTGTTGACAAACAATGGCACCTCAGGTGTCTTAAGTGCTGTGAATGTAAACTGGCTTTGGAGTCAGAACTCACCTGCTTTGCCAAGGACGGCAGTATTTACTGCAAGGAGGATTACTACAGGTACAGCAATCAGTCCCCATGGGTTCAAAACACATCCCCTCAAAAGACATTGTGAACCGAAACGCTCTTTTCTCCACATGGGCTTTCAAAGGTAGCTTTTCGCAGTCAGCGATTCCTTAATCCTGTAAACGTGTCCCCTCCGAAAAGTCTCGCACGTTTCAAACCTGAACGGGCCGTCAGGGGACGCGCTGACTGAGCATGTGTGGCCGTGCACAAACAGGCGAAGGCTCTCCCGCTGCTCGGCGCTTTCCCTCCGTAAAGACCCAACCGAAATTCCCCTCTGCCCGCAGCTTGCCGGTTTCCCCGAGGGCTGGATCCCGCCACCCCCCGCCCAGCCCCGCGCCCCGGGCCCGGGAGCGGGCCCCGCTTGTCCGTGTGTTACAGCTGTCCCTCTGGCCAGCGCCCCGCGGCTCTTCTCCCCTTGACAGGAACGAGAGGAGAGCGGGGACCGATTGTGCCGCTCCGTCCCGCCCGGCCCCGTGGGCAGCGGGAGGGCTTTCGCCCAAGTCCTGGGAGAATAGGTCAGCTGGGCGGAGAGTGCGAGGCGCTCACCCTGGGACCCCAGCAGGGGCTAGCGAGGGTGTCCCGACACCAGGCGGGCCACGGGCCGCAGCCGGTGACACGGGCCGTCCTGGGGCCGGGGGGCGGCGCGACCCTGTCGGGGACAAGCTCCCTCACGTGGCCGGGAGGGAAGGCGGGTGACACCGGGACAAGCTCTGTCTTTGCCGTTCTAGTTGATGCCCACTTTTCTGTTTCCTTCAGAAGGTTCTCCGTGCAGAGATGTGCCCGCTGCCACCTTGGGATCTCAGCCTCTGAAATGGTCATGAGAGCCAGGGAATCGGTTTATCACCTGAGCTGCTTCACCTGCACCACCTGCAACAAGACTCTGACCACGGGCGATCACTTTGGCATGAAGGACAACCTGGTTTACTGCAGGGCCCACTTCGAGTCCCTTTTGCAAGGAGAATATCCCCCTCAGCTGAGCTACACCGAGCTGGCTGCCAAGAGCGGAGGGCTGGCCCTGCCTTACTTCAACGGCACTGGCACGGTCCAGAAGGGGAGGCCCAGGAAACGAAAGAGCCCTGCCTTGGGAGTGGACATCGTCAGCTACAACTCAGGTGGGAAACACACGCCGAGTCTGCCTCCCGCTCCCCCGARCAGAGCGTTCTCGGGCTTCCCCTCAGCCAGGCAGTGTGTGAGTAACTCAGCCAGGCCAAATCTTGCTTAACCATTGGAAAATCAAACAAACAGCCCTCTGAGGGTTGGAGCGTTTGCAGGAAAGCTAACAGCAGCCCTCCTCAAAAGCTGTCTTTGCCTATTAATGTCAAACACCCAAACTTAGCCACTTCCCAGGGTAAGGACAAAAAAAAAAAAAAAAAAAAAAAAAAAAAAAAAGAAAGAAAGAAACCCCAACCCAACCCCAAAACCACATAGCTCTCTCTTTCAGAATCTCAGAGATTATTATTTATAGTTATCATTATTTATATTTGATTAGCTAAAGGCATTTCACCACTTAAACCTCAAATTAGAAGCAACCAAATGAAACAGAAAAAATAGAATAAAAGTCATAGTATATGGTTTCTACAATGCCAATGTAGTATGCACATAACTCGATTTATATATTGAATTTATAGCGAATAATTCTTCAGGCTGAATAATTCTGTTTTACTGACACATTAATGATAAAACTGTACAAGAGATCAACGAATAAATGTTGTTCCCTGTAACTAAACCCTAACAAATGTAATTAAGGAGAACAGTTTCTGCTCTCTCAACAGCAGCAAAGGAACAAGTCTTGCGCTGTATTAAATATCCTCTTTAACTCCAATCACTTGGGTACCCAAACCGTGTACAAGCAGTGCTAGGGATCAGAGGTAAAGGAGTTTCAGGTGTGACGGAGGAGATGAGGCAGAGTTTCATCAGATGAAAGACGAAAGCAATAAGGGTAAATAYGAATTAGCAAACTCCCGACTCCAAAATTATTTTAGCAAAACTTAAGTTTCCAATGGACGGTAATGAGGAAAGAAAGCTGTGGAAACAGGAGTGACGCAAGGTGCTTCTCCGCGAAGCGTGGAGCCGTCGCGGCTGAGGCAGGGAGCTGGGGGCTCCGGCCCCAGGGCTGCGGACCGCTGGCCCMACCGGGGAGCCGGGAGAGGGATCAGGGCCTCCCCTTCCGACRACCGCGGGTCGGTGGCAGAGCCCCGCTCTAGGCCCGGAGCTCTCTCCCCTGCACCAAGTTCAACCCGCTGCCACTGAGATCCGTAAGGAATTCTCCACCGCCCCCCTGCCCTCCCCATCCCTCCCCCGGCACCTCCTCTGGGGCCGCTCGTGAAACGGGCTTTAGCTGGGAACCAGGGAGCTGTGCAAGGCGATTTCATCTCCTCTGATGCGTAGACCTTGGAGCCAGGGTAATCACTGCGCTAATTGTTCCTTGTTAATTGAAGATGACATTGGAATCCCTGGCTACGGAGAGGCTTCCAATCAATCCCGAAAGCTGCTAAAGAAAAGGGAACCTGTAGCGCAGCCAGGATTCATTCAGCCCCGGCTTCGAATGGTRGATTTCCCGTGCACCAGCGCTCCGCTCTGGTCTCTATCCCTGGTCCACACACTATCACCAGAATCCCCAGATTCCTGAAGGGAAATATTTCTAGGGACAATTTAGAGTTAGAATTAGAAGTTAGGGTAAAATAAAGAGTTGTGGCTATGATAAAGCACCCCTTAAACTTCAGGTCAGGTCTCAAGAGAGATATAATTTGCAAACACTGACATAATTTTTGTGTGCTAGTCTTAAAACTCCCCTTCTTTCCAACAAAAGCCCATATAAGATGTACCACTGACTACAAATCAGATCAAAAGCACCACCTATTAYGAAAATACAGCTCACTGCATTGAAAACTCACAGAATCCTCCGGGCAACAGAGAGAAAAAAACCAAAACAAATCAGCAAACGCTCTGATGCTTTGGACTCAAGCTAACTGGCTGAGAAATCTGTTCTGTTAGGGCCGTGATATAATTTTTTTTGTAAGTATTATCTAGCAATGTTCAGGGTTGACACATGGTCTCGAGAAAGTTTGCAGCCAAACCGTGCATCCGGTGCAAACGGCTCCAGCCCATTGACCCACTGCGTTCCAGATTCAGGGGGAGGGAAGCGAATCTGGAACGGCTACGAATGATTTGCAGTAGATGAAATCGCTTCTTGAGAGAAAAAAAGTCTCTAACTAATTGGCAGCCATTTCCCTACACACATTTTTCGCTCCTGCCCTSTGATTCAGTAACTGCTCTCGCACGTAATCATTTACAAAGAGCAAGCAGTCCGCAGAAATTAATGTGGGATACAGGGCTGCCGCCTTCCGCGGGAGGAGCGGGGCCCCGGCAGCGGCGGGCGGGGGTGTCGCGGGCCGTGTCKCGGTGTGCCGCCTGTCACCCCGCGGGGATACACGGCACGGTGCCCCGGCCAGAGACAGCGGCGGGCACGGGCACGGGCACGGGCACAGCCTTGCCCCGCACATCGCCCCTGCGCCAAAGCGCCCCGAGCCGGGACACCGCGCTCCGCACCCGCGGCCGGGGCTCTCTCGGCACTCCGGGGCCGGGGCACCATGGCTGTGATCCCCCCAGTAAGCCAAACAGTCCCGCTGCGGGGTCCATACCCGTGTGCCAACCGCTACGGAAAACGACCCCGAGCCCTAAAAACGAAACTCCGATGGAGTCAACAACTTCGCCCAGCTGAGCACGAGCATGTGTGTATTCACAGCCGTCTAGCAGGCCCTGGCTTAGATTTGAGTGCACATTATGTTTCAGGGGAGCTGAGCCCTGGGCCAGAATGGAAAATCAGACTCTGTTGCAGGATCTACAACAGATTTTCTATTCTGTATTTTGTTTGCTAGTTTAATTTCTTTTTCGCAGCTCCTCGGTTGTAAAGTGGAAACACAACAATAAATAACTCAAAATGTTATGAGGTAGAAGTCACTCATACTTGTGAGCTGTCTGGAATTAATGTGAAAAATGGAAGAAACTATTCAAAAGTACTTAACACATTCAAGGCTTTCTCTATATTTCATCTTATATCATATATTTAATATGTATTTTGAGGGAAACTGTGTTGACTTACAGCTTACAGGATGCAGAAATGAGATGGTGAAGAAGATTTCCCTAGGAAAATATTTTACACAGCTGCTCCTCAAAGAGCTGTTTACTTTATTTCATTATATGTGTATGTGTGGTGTGTGTGTGTGAAAAATTATGAAGAATTCACTTGAAGAATTCTTGGCAATAAGAAGCAAACTGTTCTAGCTCTTTTGAAAGCAAAAATTAAACAACCCTCCAATCCTGCTGTGAAGAAATGAACAATGTCTTCCCTGACTTTTTGCTTTCCCTTAATTCTCCAGGAGATAGTGTAAAACTCTGCTCTATGATGTGGCCAAACCACACAACACTCACATAAAACAGAGAGAGCAGTAATCATTGTACAAACCAGAACTGTGTGAAGATAGATACTTGTAGCCATCTTCTCATTTTCTCTTGAAAACAAAAACCAAAATAAAGTAGACTGCCGACAAAAAAAAAAATAGACAAAAAAGAGTAGAGTACAGAAACAAAGGCAGTAAGCAGGACAGAGGAGCCTGAGGAAGTTTGTGTTGCTGCTGTAAGCCYGAGCAACTCAAGGAAAACAACACAAACAAGCAGCTTGCAACTCTGAAGTAAAACCTGAGGACTGAATTCTGATACTCTGATTTATGTCAGCTCATAAATTACAGCCCACRCAGTTTGACTGAAGGCAGTATGATTGCTTGTGAAAACAAGTAGTAAATACAATCCAAATCTGGTCTGAAATTRTTTTTAAGGCAACTTTCAACTCCTGGTCTTTTCAGAAGTGTCAGCTTACTTTGTTTGAAAGTACAGATATGCTTCTTACCAAGACTAGGAGCAAAGCTAGCTATAATTAAATATTCACCTGATTCTCTGTCAAAGTGTTGTCTTACCAGCATCTGTTCATGTTGACTTGTCTTATAATTCAAAAGAGAAAACACCTTCAAGAAGCTTTTTATTTTCTTGTGGTTTCAAGTTGCTTTGCTTCTGTTTTCAGCACTGCCAATATCAGTCTCTATTTCCCTCTTTCTCTTCTCTCTCCTCTCTCTCTCTCAATTAGGAATGGGGATCAACTAGGCCTTGTAAATAATCCAGTAACTACTGGAAAGCAGTTCAAAATCAAAATGAGCAACTAATGAAACTCAGTCTAATATATAGACATTCTGAAACATTTTTAATTAGCTCTTCTTTAATTAATATTCCCTGCTATGACACTATTCATTTTCTCTAGTGTGGCTGAGCTATCTTTATAAAATGAGATACTAGATATTTCAAACTCTCTTGTTTAAGCTGAAAAGAAAAGCAGACATCTTTTTCTTTTTTTTTTCTAATACTCCAATAGGAAGTAGTGATGCCACTGTCCCCAAATAGCTGCAACTGTTGTGTACAATTCACATGCATAAAAGTATAATCTGAAACTAGCTTATCTTTCATAGACACTTTGAAAATATTGAATTAGGGAAAGCAGAGAAACTCTTTTCAAGTTTTGAGCCCCTAGCTGCTTGTTTGTAGAAATGTCCTAAATCAGGTAATGTCCTACTCTCAGCTAAGAGCTATTGCTGATTGGGACTGGGGGACTGGATCAAGTCTTGATGCAACTGCTTCCTRGATGTTTTACAGATGAAGAGCTTTGAGCAGTTCATATAAACTCCCAAGCAGAGTCCAAAAGCATTTATTTTATCAGCAAAAACCTCAGCTTTCTTGATGAACTGTCATAACAAACTTCCCTGCTGCACATCTCTTTTTATAGGTGTTTGTGATTCGGGGGAAAAGCTCAGGAACACTCAAAACACTAGTTTGACCTTTAGTCTTCTCTCAAGCTAAGAATGTTTCAATGAGTGAAATTTCAAAATCTGAATGAGATTTCAAATGACTTTGAGCGCCCAAAGCAAAATCATCACCACAGGGAAAAGACTTGTTTGAAATAAATGCCAAAGGAAAGAGAACTTTCTAAGTCTGCCCTTARTAGGTACAGGCCTGGGGGACATAGCATATTATAAGAATAGGAAATGGTAATGTTTTGGATCTTTTTGGTCTCATTTAATTATCACATCTGTACTTATCCTTCCTTCCTTCCTGCCTTCTTGCCTTCCTGCCTTCCTTCCTGCCTTCCATGCCTGCCTTCCTYCCTGCCTGCCTTCCTGCCTTCCTTCCTGCCTTCCATGCTTGCCTTCCTTCCTTCCTTCTTGCCTTCCATGCCTTGCTGCCTTCCTAGCCTACTAGAAAGCAGCAGTTGCTACTAGCCTTCCTGGCCACTAACTCCTTGTTCTGTTTTGTTTATTTGCCAGGTTGTAACGAGAATGAGGCAGATCACCTGGACAGAGACCAGCAGCCTTATCCCCCATCCCAGAAAACAAAGCGCATGCGTACCTCCTTCAAACACCACCAGCTTCGTACCATGAAGTCCTACTTTGCTATCAACCACAACCCAGATGCCAAGGACCTCAAGCAGCTTGCCCAGAAAACAGGCCTGACCAAGAGAGTTCTGCAGGTAAGAAGCCACATCACAGGCTTGACAGAATTTTCCCCTGCTAGTCAATAGCCTTTCCCTTTTGTGTAACAATAGCAATATAAATAGAAATACTTTTGCTGGGCGTGTCCCTAGTGGGTGTGCAGAGGGGTATGGTGTTATGTGGCAGGAGTGCCAGATGTGTGCCTAACTGCCCCAAGGCAGCCAAACACCAAACTGTGGTTTAGGATTTGCTGCATCCTCAACATGAGGAAAATGTCCTCAGAGTCCACCCACCCAGTAGATATCCTGGGGCCGGTAGTCTCTGTGTGGTGACTGCACTAAGGATAGAGATGGAGAATCTACTGATCTTCTGGGTGAAGCCTTTGGGCTCCCCTGAAGCAGTTAATGCGGCCCCTCAGTAAGCAGATTCCCAAAGTGTTTGAAGCAAGAATTGACCAATGTGATCCTCCAGGACAAGCTGGCTCCCCCTCGCAATGCTTGTTAGACAACTGTTTTCATTAAGGGCCTACATAGTCAAAAGGCATTTCCCTGTAAAGGACAGCCTAGCAAATTATGTTAAAAAATCCCTATATGGTGTGTGATAGCTCAGTGAAGTTAAAATGAGCTGTGTATTACATGCAGAGTGCCAAAGAAGGGCAGTGAGCAAGGTAGAAGGAGAATCTATTAGCGGCAACTCCTTGCCAGTGTTACACGTCACCTAAAACATTGTCAGTGAACCTTACAGAACAGAAAGACTAGATGACCCATATCAACAATCCATATGACAGGGATGCTGTAATTACCGCTCCTTCCTCTTCAGCCTTTTCAAATAATCGAGGCAAACTTGCAACCCTCCCAAAAATCTGCTCATTCACCCTTTACCTCGATCTTTATGTGTCYTGACCCCAAAGCTACCCAACCCAAGAAACACTATGTGGCCATCAAGAGRGTTGCTTTATTTGGGTAAGTGAGCGAGCAGATTTTTCTTGAGGCTGTAAGCACCTGTAGCACTGGGCCTGTACACAGGGAGTCAGTACCACCAGTAGCAAGYGAAGCTGTAGAATGACTTAGGTGATGTGCCACACAAAATCAAGCATCAAAAATTACTTAAAAGCAAGAGCAAAGACAAAGAAATAAGCAAAGCAAAACAAGCATCGGTAAAGAAATCCATTGGGATTGGTTTGCAGGTTTGGTTTCAAAACGCAAGAGCCAAATTCAGAAGGAACCTTTTGCGGCAGGAGAATGGGGGTGTCGATAAAGCTGACGGCACCTCGCTCCCGGCACCGCCCTCAGCAGACAGCGGCGCACTCACTCCACCCGGCACTGCGACCACTTTAACAGACCTGACCAATCCCACTATCACTGTAGTGACATCAGTGACCTCTAACTTGGACAGCCACGAATCCGGGAGCCCCTCACAAACTACCTTAACGAACCTTTTCTAACATTTCATTTTTTTTTTTTTAATTCTTACTCTTCATTATTATTATTATTATAATTATTATAAATATTATTATTATTTTCAAGCCTTTTTTTTAAAAAAACAAAACAAGAAACAAACCCACAAAATATTTGGGAAAATAAACAGCTTGATGTGTAGCATCTGCAGCCACCTGGCAAATGAGTTTGAAGTAATATGTTGCTATAATAAATGAACATTTATTGTTGTTAAATTGTACTCAAATTCTTTAAATTTATCAGATGACTGAAGAGAAGGTTATGAATCATTCTAATAAGTGCCTCTTAAAATTGTATGTTACTTATTTCCAGAACCTTGAAAAAAATTGATTGTTACCACCCCCAAAAGAAGAGTCTATTCCTCCTTGAGAACCAGATAAAAATGATTTTAATTATAGTCAAAAGAGTGCTGCTTCAGGATTGTATGTTCACTTACAGCATTTAAGAACCCCAAATTTAATTTTATTTTTATAAKGCATCCGAAAGTTTTGTATGATTTATTTTTTACGTGTTCAAAAACAAATACAAAATGAATTAAACTAATCATGGAAACAGTAAGACTGGAAGTACCAGTGCCCTTTTCGAATGCATTGGTCACAAGCCTGCTCCTCCCTGAGCACTGGGGAATCTCACTGGGATAGCTAAATGCTCCTCTGCCAGTTCTTCACCCAGCTGGGATGTCCTTGGCCACCACTGAAAGCCATGCCTGGATGAAGGACTTGGAGAGAGACCCAGTGATGAATGTGTGGGTGAGGATGGCAGGACCAGGCCGTTGGTCTCCCAGTTTGTGCCCTGCACATTGAGGAGGCAAGATCTGGAAAAACCCTCCAGAGTGAACTAACACTTATAAGAATATCATTAAAGTAACAATAGCAGAGTAGCAGTGCAAGTGGAGAGTCCTGATGATCTGAAATATTGACTAGAGAGGGGTTTTAATTTTTGTTTTTCAAGCAGCTCTGAAGTTTTGGAATTAAAAAATATACAAATTGCAGTTCACGACACGGCTTCGATGCCGTACCTTTAAAGCAAACAGGAGGTTGCCCATTTATTTTAGTGAGCACAAAAAAAAATTTCAATAAGGTTTATGCATATGTACTATTAAAATGATTTTTTGATAAATCCTACTTTTTTTTTCAGGGAAAATGGAAATAAGCAAAATATAATTTATTAAGATGTTTAAGGAAAWTTTTTTCAGTACAATTAATTCTTACTATTTTGAATTTACTTTAGATGCTTCCTGAGATTGTATCAGACACTTTGTTTAACACAGGAACTTAAAATCTTTAGTTCATTAATCACTCTAAYGTATTCTTTAACTTTTTAAACTTTGTATAAAAGAAAAAAATGTTAGCGAAAATCATACAAAACCAGGAATTGGCAATGAATAACTTCAAAGCCGATAAACTCAGAAGCCTTGTGGATGCTGATCTGAATACATTTCTTAGTTTACAATAGTGATCTTTCTTTTTTTAGTTTTATTTAAGCTAAAAGTCTGAATGGTCTGGGCAGTGGTGAATGTTCATTTGTATCCTTTTATTGTAGTTGAACACCAATTAGATTGTGGAGAGTCTCAGAAACAAAAACGAACAAAAACCAGTCAAGATCTATGTCTTGCTTTTAGTGGATTGTTAAGAATAACTTTGCACATATACCCCACTTTTTAGACACCATCAAAACTCTTTTTGGTGGTCAAAGTGGCTATTTAATATATTTTAAAGGTGTCCTTTTTGGCTGTATAAATGTGTGGTTACATATTGACAGTTCACTGCCCACATTAAAGTGCATTATTGTAATTTTTGCTCAGGGTTTTTAGAAAATTAGCACAGAAAAGTAGCTTATTTTTAAAAAAGATGACGGAAGAGATGTTAACACTGTAATAGAAGAAAGGTGTGTTTGCCATTATATATTTAGCAAGTATGGTTATCATCTTCTATGGATATTGAATCTTGACTTTTCCTATTTCTATTACCTTATGGGCATTTACCACTAACCAGACCAAAAGACCTTGGTAAGGCTGAGATCTTTATTAATACACTTTTACAGGTAAAAATATTGATACTTATAAATTTTGTTCTTTGACAGAACAATATATGGTACTAGAGATCTACTTTATTAAGTAGACTAATTAAAACTCAGTTCTACTATGTGCCTTATGATATACCTTGGGAGTAAGTTTGTGAAAAATCAGGATATATGTGTTGTTTGTTAAATTAACTGTTTTAAGCCCTTTTGACACCTCACTAGTTTTGTACTGTTTTACCTCTTATTTCTGAAACTCTTTTTATGGTGTATCCTGTTAGAGGGGACAAACATGTCATAGAAAGCAGTTGTGCACTCTTTCAGATATAGTTGATAAATCCAATAATCTTATATATTGAGCTTCGTGTTTATAGTACAGTAAGTGGTCTAGCAAAATTGTCCATGTTTCTTTGTTTATTGATAAATGCATTGTATAGAAACTATTTCCCCTAAATATTTATGGACCAAACAATTGTGATATATCCTATTAAATTTGTGTGAATAAACCATTTTGAATCTAAGGAGTTTTATTTCCCATCAGTTTTTTGTTGGGGTATTTTTTTTTTTTTGGTTTGGGGTTGTTTTTTAATTTCTTTTTTAAAATTTAAGGTCTACATATACCCGTGTGTCTCTTTGCTTTTATGGTGCCTATGAACAATTGGTATTAAACACAGAAACACAGCCTTTTAAAATATTTTAAAGTATGGTTCCTTCTTAGGTTTTCAATTTCTTCATATTCAGTGTATATGCTACTGCTGGTACAATTTAGATTTTAGCCTTTTAACCTCCCTTTTTGAACATGCAAAGTAATGCCCCACTGATTTGATACTGAAACCCTGTCTTAGCCCTCTAAAATAGCCAGAAAACTAGGAGCTAAAGTAATTGCATGACAAATATAACCTAAATAGTATGATGAAATGAATCAAGATTTAATGCTAGGTATATTGAGCACAAAATAGAATTGCAGACCCCGAAAAGCCAGGTTGCTCTGTAGTTTAATAAATTGTCACTATGATTTCTTTCAGGGAGAACAAATCATGGGGCATTACAGCCAAACATCCCGACGTTTGAAAATTCCCTAAAGTATTAAAAGAAGGGGAAAAGTTTGATCGGAAATCCACTGCAGTGAAGACAAAGACAATATTAGGTTATGATAATCATACATTTAAAAATCTATTGAGCCAAAAAGTAAAAATAAAAGACTCGATGTCATTTCCTGAATGTTAACAAAACATATGTTATTTTATGGTGTCTAATTAACAGAACTGAAGGCTTCAACAAATTGTGTGGTATCAAAAACAAATTTAGAGAAACTATGTATAAAACCAGAGCAACCTGGCAGCAATCTACCCAGCCCATATTCGAAGAAACCTTTTCTTTTTTTTTAAAAAAACAATCACATTTGTCAAGCACAAGTACCTGTAAAATAAAATCTGAGTGCATTCATTCCACTTGCTTGCTAATGTGTACTAGTCATATCTGTTAAATGGATTTTTGTAAATTCAAGGAGAACTTTTCACTCATCCAAGATCATAGGAATCAAAACCCAGTAACTTTAGTACTATTGTTTCTGAATTAATTTTTTTTTTAAATGAGACAAATCTGCATGCACTTTTCCATCTGTCACATATAGTGTACATTTCTGTATGATGAATTTCTCTTTGATGTTTCTTGTATAATAGCTTTCATTAATAAACATTTTATTTGATGCAAACATAGTTAACTTTATGTAAACACATAGCTAATTGCTCCAACTAATTTAAACTTTTCTTTTGAAAGGAAGCAGTACAGTGCAGTTCCAAAATGTTCCATACATATATATATATATATCTAAAATCAAAAAGAATGAGGTAGCAATACTATTGCACAGTGTAAAATTATTTCCTTCGGTGTTAATTTTAAATTTTTTAACTTCTTGTATAAAACTGACATTTTTTAAAAAGAAATTCCCATCAGCATCAACAATAAAACAACCCCCAAATTCTTCATCAATATAATAAAACATGAGCAGTGCAGTGTGTAAAATYCTCAGTGACTTTAGAGTACAAGGATATAATTTGTGGATCCCTGAGCTGTTTACATGGTCACTATGCAATGAGCAAGTTTGCTACATAAAGTTGGTCCTAAGATTCCCAGTCCAAATCACAGATGATTTTTACAAGCCAACAAGCAAGTGTAACAATAACCATTTCTTAGTAATGAGGTTTTGTAACTGTTGAGCAACTATTTGCAGAAAGATTTTTTAAAATATATTCCTATTTAGCTGTATAGCCAAAGCATATGTTAAACAAATTAACATATAAAAGACTTGCCAGAAAATCTTTCATTAAGATGACATTTTTATTATATACTAATGAACCCTATGTAAACAATGTAACTTTTATGAATGATGGACATTAAATATTTCACTTACGTGTATCCTCAGCATTTTGCATGTTTTCTTAAACCTTTCCAGTTTTCAGAATTCTAAAAAAGAAAACCATACAATTATTAACAACGTAACACAAAGTTATGTACAGGTTACTGCAGCAATCTCTGGAAACCGGTAACTAAGAGTGTTCTAATGGCAATAAAAAGGTATCATTTRTTGGTGGTAATTATGGGAAGCATTGTTTAAACAACAGTTTTACAGTATGTTGTAAAGTTCTATTGAAAAAGGTTAGCATGGTGGACTTAATTCAAATCAGCTTGATCAGAAATTTAAGTATATTGTGAAATTCTTAAGCTGAGCCTTATGTGTATTTATTACTACAGAAAGTAAGTAAATGTAGGGAAGCAATTATTCGTGTCACAGCCGCAATGTGGTTTCCTCCCCTTGTCCTTAGGAAAATATTACAACCATTAATTATTCCAATCAGTAAAGAACTTGGTGGTGCGTAGGACCAAGAAACAAACCTATGCACTATAGTTTTGCTTTTGTAAATCTTCAATAAGTTGGATTTCTTTTCCTCCTGAYTTAATACTTAAC